TTTCAGTCTCTGTCTAAGTAATGCGTAAACATTTTATTATTATAATATGTCAATTACACTCGAAACACGTTGCAAATTGAGCAATACGACAGAAGTATTATATTATATTGTGCGTTCGGGTACAATGAAAATGTTATTGTTTATACGTGTATTTTAATTTTTTTTTCCTTTTCAATGACTCGACTAAAACGCGATTTATATTTTTGAAAAATATGTATAGAATTATTCATTTATATCTGTAAGCAACGATAAACACCAATTCAAACGAAAATCGATTCGGAATAAAGTTCAGTTAGATTATATTTCAAATCTCTACGAATATATATTTTTAACTGGATTATAAAAAAAAAAAAAAAACAAAAGCATTATTTTCGTAAATTTTTTCCGGTCTTTTTATGTTTTTTTTTTTCAGTTTTGATCAATCATTAAAAAAAAATTACTATGGAAATGAAAAAGACGACTTTCTGACTTTAAACTAAATTTAAAATACAACATAAAAGGTCTCTCATTGATTTTCTAATGAAGCAATATTTCTGGTAGTAAACATAATAGCTGTTAAAATTTGAAATATCTTCACACTATAAATTTATCAATTTTCATATTTCGTCTTTTTTTGGTTTTTTCCAATTATTATGAAAATTAATCGAAAAACCAAAAAAATATCTCTAAATCAAATCAAAACACTCAAATGCATCAAAAAAATAACATTTTCTTTTCAGAAAAAAATGCTACATTTGGTACATTAGAGCAAGATTTCTGGTAGAAAAGTTGTTCAGAGACACAAAAAACACACATTATAGTAAAATCAGTATATCCTAATCTAAAACACTGCGACGAGCAGTGGTAGATATCAGGAGGGTGGGCGATGGTGTTTTTTTTTTATATTACTCGCAGGGATAAGAACTACAAATTAAATATTTATGGTTGAATTACATTTTTATGTTTTAGTAAAAAACTTGTAATTTTTTAATTTTGAAAGATTTGAAGATTTTATAGAGAAGAAATTATAGAAGAATTAAAAACTAAAAAATTCTTTTGAAAATGTTGACGTTTCAAATTTATACTACATTAAATTCGTGATTTTTAATAATTGTTTAATTTCAGAAAAAAGTATCTATATTTATGCAACAGGCTGTAATCGCCTTCGCCAATTGATTACAAAAACAAAAAATGTATTAAAATATAAATATTTCTAGTCCTTATCCTCGTGAATAATATATATAAAAAATAATTTGATTATCTTTATTATCTCCGTAGATATTACAATGAGTATATTCTTGGAACACTCTGCATTATCACCTAAAACTTAATGTTTAAGAATTTACGAAGATATATAGGTAGAAAGTACATTAAATCATAAATTTTGATAATTTTTTTTTTCATTGTCAATCAGTTAAAATTATGAGAATTCATGGCCGTATTTTTTAATCGACAATTAAATCGTTTATTATCTTTGATTGTAGTAACAACCATTGAACTATTGATATAGAATTAAATTTTAACGACAGACTGCAGCTGCAGCTGATTTCTGCTCTAATTGCGTTGAAACCCAACGTCCAGCAGTAGCTCTCTCGATGTAGAGTTGCTTATAACCTTAGTTTTTTCCAGAAATCTGTGTTTAGTTTTTTGTTTACGTTTGTCATTTATCAATGGCTCACATTTGTATTTTCGTTGCTGTTGTTTAGATTTTTTGTACGCATTGTACCTTAGTTCGTGGTATTTAATATTTAAAATATTGTTTTTATAGTATTTACTATATATTCAACATAATTATTAACATTATTTCAACATGTAAAAATGTAAAATATCTTTATATTTTATCGCAGTCAGTACTGATCAAAATACGCATTTTTGTAAAACGTCATTTAATTAGAGTTCAGCTGAAAATGTATAAATAAAACAACCAAAGAATGTCAAAAAAGAACACTGGTATAGGTTATAAACATTTTTTGGAAATTAAAGTCAACAAAATTTGCATATTTTTCGTGCAGACTAGAGTAATAGATTTCCAAAACAAATAAAAAAAAGGGTATCAGTGTTCATTTCATGGTGGTGACCGAGAGGGTATAAAGTAATACTCCATCAGAAAAATATATGATATTACTACGTAAACTATATATAAAATGTAAAATGAGTTATGGGCCGATTATGAGTCATTTAGTTGATAATAGAATTAAAAAAAATATTGCGTTACATAAATAACGGTATTTTAACGAGTTACAAAAAATAGTCATCATTGAGCGCATTATCTTAATTTTTTCCATCAGGTGTAAAAATTCCTATATTCGGCTTTACCTTTGGCATACCTTCTTGGAAATTCACGGTTCCTCCGTGGAGATAAAGATCTGAAATAAACACTGAATGGGATGAACCCTAATACCTATGTGAGTTTAAAAATTGCCTCTCCCCCCTCTAAAAACTTGGATAAATACGTCACTAGCGACGAGCACGCACGAAGTATACGGTAGAAAAAATATTTTGTAACCGTATCATATTGACACCACGAATGATAAGAATAGTTTTTAGTTATATTATTTGTGTAATTTGATCTTATAATATTAAGAAGCAGGAGAAAAAATTATCATTTTTATTTTTAATTTATTCGGACAAATTATAAGATTACATTATTGAATTGTGTAAAACAATTAAATAAAATTCAATTTTAACATACAATTCATATTTTATTGGTATGTTCAGATAGGTAATATTTTGGCGAATCGGTAAGGAACTGGGTTTATTATGGCGTGTCTTGGATTTTCCCTCTTTATCCTCCGTCTGAACAACCTTTCTACCAGAAATCTTGCACCGTTATCAACTAAATGGTTCTTGTGAGATAGCAAATATTCTCTGTAGTAGGTGTATTGCACAGTACAGTGTTCAGTTTTGCGAATAGACCGAAAAAATCAATAACACTTTGTCCACGCGATATTTTATTTTACAAGTTTAACAAAACACTAAAATACGGTTTTTATTTATTTTTTTTTTTTTATGTAGCTGGAGTTCAACTTCAGCAGGTGCAAACACACTGTTTATGAGCGTAACCACCGCGGGGTTGCAAGTGAACCGTCGTGAACCCCCGTAAATTACGCCACTGAAAATCAACGTACCCAAGTACGAATGACAAATCAGCAACCAAGGCGTTTTGGCTAATGTTCAATACGCGTCTGTATGATATCGTTTTAGTAGACTCCCGTAACGGCGAATGGGCTCGTCTTCAAAAGCGGTTACACGAGATGTGTGTATATATATATAATAACTATGACTATAAAATTATTTTTTTTTTCGTTGGCTAATGAAAGAATCAAAAAAAAAAAACGTAAAATTCAATTATTTTAAATATATGTAACGACGGTTGCAAGTCGAAGCCAATAAAATTATCGTCTGTATACAGTTTTGCCGTGTCCGAACGAATTTAATCGAGTTGCCCCCGCAATATTATTATAACGCGTATGGCGTAAAAATCTCGGCAAGTTCGTTTCGTATTTATATACAGAGTGATCATACGAATGAATAAAATAAGTAATTGTATTGCGTTTGACAGAAAATATTGTTTGAAAATACGAAATGTAACGTTTTTTTTTTCTCGTAAATTTAATATATTTTTTTTAATTTTTTATTCATATAGTGAATAACGTCGTAATTCTTCTCTTTCGCGCCAACGTCATCTCGTACTTCTAGAGTATTTTAAAATTTCAAACGTATTTATATTCGAATATGACTACAGTATACGATTAATAATTTTAGTAAATTATTATGCTTGGTGAATTATGCTTAGTAGGTTAAAATGCAGTGAGCAAAATGAGACAAATTTATACATGGTACTTAAGCGAAAAAAAAAGCCTCCGCATCCCCGAAATAGATAGAAATTTTAAAATAACCTTCTATATTACTCTTAAAGGGTACACGGTAAATATTAATAGCAATCACTCCGTGTTGTAGCAGACGTCGAATTTATTGGCTCGGCGTGTCAAAATTAGTTCATCAATCGCTATCTGTTACGTAACATTACACCACACACAAATTTATGCACACGCACGCAGACACACACGCAGACGGACAAAATATTACAATACTTGCGATAGTATTGCTGGTATTTATGTAAAACATTACATGGACTAATGGACGTATTGATAAACGAAAAAACCATGGAGAAACGAAAAAACAAAATGATAAAATCCGTTGTGGAATAATTAAAAAAACAAAAAAAATCTTACTAACATAGTTACATACTTCACATGGTGAGTGAACCGCTGTTGTATATGAAAAGTCGGAAAATATAAACGAGAAATTAAACGTATACCAAACGGAGTTCGGTTATACATGTTTTGAAAGGCCGTAATACTTACGATTTTAAAATAATACATTTCGTAAATGTTCCCGTTTTCCGAAGTTTTTTCCCATTTATTGGAAAAACTCCAGGGAAAATCAAAAAATGACCCCCTTAAAGTACCACCCCCTAGAAAATTTTTCTTTCAATAAAGGTGCTTTCCACACTTGAAAATCGGGGCAATGTTTCTAATAGAACAGTTGTTCACGTGAAAAAATTAAAAAACATAATTTCAAAACCAATACATTTCTCGGTCTACTCAGAATCTAAAACGATAGCGATTTATGGCAATTTATTATATTTATAAATTATTCAAAACTAAATAATAAAATACATATTATTGTAATATTATTATCGTTTATCACAATGGCCCAAATACTGCATCCGTCAAGCCTATAATATTCTTATCGGGTTCCCGGTCGTGCGTATTGACACAGAAATTCGCTCTAAACCGAGAGTTCGGAGTACAAAATTATCAAGAAATATTTCGGTGTTCCTATGATAATCAACAATAATATTATAATTGTATCGAAAAAAAAACTACGTAAATGTGTTCGTTTTGTTTTTCCAATGTCTGTTTGTATGCATTTTCGTTTATGATAGTTTTCGTTTACGACATAATTTGTCGTTCAGAAACAGAATTTTAAGTTATAGTAGTTGAGTTTTGAGTTATAACTTATAAATCTAAACGGTAAATCTGATATTAATGTTATGCATATCAAAATTTCTAGAAAAATATTTTCTATTAAAATCTCTGTTCAAATGGGGGGGAGGTTCAATTTGAAAATTAAAAGTTTGCACTTATTTAAGATATGTAGAATAGGGTGAAAAATTAAAAATTTTTTTGATATAAAGCTTAAACGATTCCAGGATTTCAGGATTCCATGATTAGGAAGAACAGAAATCAAATTAATTAAAAAAAACTCCGAGATAATTGCTGGTTCTTGATAAAAAAATATCACCCTGTATAATATGTACCCCGAGCATGTGCCGACTAATATTTAATAAAATTATTCGAATAATTATGAAAAAATCACCCGAACCATAATTTATTCGAATAAAATGTTATCTAAATAAAATTATATTTAAATTCAACCGCTTACTCTGATGCCTACCCAGTTAACACTTAAACATACGTGTTGAAATAATTTAACTATATGTATTTATTTTATCCACTGTAAACTGTAGTTGAAAATAAATAATACTCGAAACGGATATTATTGTTTAATGAAACCGATTTACTTTTAAATTGATCGTAAAACGCTATTCTATGTAGTTTCAGAAAGATACCCACTTATGACTACAATTTTATTATTTTTACGTAGCGAGTGTAAAAATAAACAAACAAAACTACTTATACATTTACATATGTAAAACAATTCAATAAATAATCAGTGAAAATTGAGTTTTTTGTTCTAATTTATAAAATATTATACCTATCACTGTTAAGTTAACCTATGCCGATTTAAAATAATAAACTAATAAATTTAATTATTGACGGAAGTGGGAAGGGTACAAAAGATATTAGACAAATAATTTAATTACATTGGTAGAGTTAGTTATAATTTATTAATCGAATGATTTTAAAACATAAACATTATATAGGTAACTACTATAATACGTCTTATACGAGACTCGTAATCATTATTTTTGAATTTTTAAAAAAATAATACTGGAACGACACAGTTATCAACTAAATCAATACTCGGCGAACCGAATCAATAAATATTATTTAAATGACCGTTAGGTATATTGGTTACTATCAAAACAACCAAATAATAATAATAGACCAGATACATATTATACTATTATACAAGTAGGCATTTACATAAATTAAATAATATTTATGTATAGAATATGTTATTAAAAATATTCTACTCCGGTTTACTCCTAGGTATTATTTAATATACAATCGTTGAATGTTTTAAACGGCATAAAATCTACATAAAATCAACCGGTGGTTATTAAATGATTTGAACTTGTGTTTTAATCATAATCGCGTTATTTTTTTCCCGAAGGTTGTGAAACGATTTGTTATTTTATATCACTATTATTATATTTTTCATTGTAATATTGTAAACGCGAGAAATAAAATTATTACAGTAAATAATGTGCGATGTAGGCAACGATGGTATTTTCTTGATTTTTTTCGGAAGGTGCAATCGATTAAAAGTAACGAATATAATATGTGATTAATAAAAAAAACCTAAATCTCGATGCGACGTTACCTATACTCGATGTTGAAAAACACTATTAACTACAGTTAGATAAACGAATTTTCAGTCGTTTGTCTTTATAAGAACATAATGGCTATCCATTTTTTTAGCAATCTGCGGGTAACTAGTTTAGCGAACAAACCGTATTGGCGATATTGTTTACTGTGATTTATTATTGTCTGATAGCTGAAAGCACGACAACTGGGTTACCAAAATCGGCCAACAATGTTAAAAACTACTCGGAGGATATAAATTCCCATCTAGATTACGGAACCCCCCCCCCCTCCCGTCAATGCAGATACAGAACCACGAAAATCGCATTTCTTCAATAATACAATGAACCTTCTATTGCAGTAAAATACTGTGCGATAAACGAACGTATTGTGACTATGTTATTATCAAGTAGCCAAAATAATTAAGTATGTATATGAAAAATTAACGACGATCAAGGATTATAAAATTATGATTAATGAGTAGACACTGATAATTTTTCGGAAAACGCGTGCCTATTGCGTGACGATAATGCGGGAGACCTGTTATTGGGATTTGAGTAAAAAAAAAAAATTGTATAATGTGCTGTTTTAAAGATACCGATAAATCATATCGTCACAGACGTGTAATGTAATACAATTCGATTTAAACAAACGTCGATACATTACAAAACTAGACAAAACGCTAGATAAAAATATCAAAGATCATAAAAGATATACAATTATGTATCGGCATTACGTAGATTCTGTGAACTCTGTCATTACACCCGTACGCACGCGAGACCTTATATTATATAAATTAAATAATCATAATTATAGCGACTTTCTACTATTTATATTAAAAGTACAAAATAAAATTTAATCACAAATGAATATAATATGATAAATAGGTTAAAGGTCCGTATTCGTTTTGTATTGATTACATTCATTTCGCATTAGGTAATCAATATGAATTAGGTATATCTATTTAGATTTTAATTAAACCCGATTTCAAGTTATGTTTATTTAAAACAGTAAACATAAACAACCTTTTTGAGTTTTCGTTATTTTAATTAGGAATACCAAAATAAAAATAAAAAAAAATTCAAGTATCTTTCAGCACAGAATGATACGAGATAGTTATTGTATCTCTCGGATTTGTGATGAAACAAACGCGGTCTTTGAGAAGCATTTGCTTCTCGATTTTACAAAAGATTTAGGGGCGGACGGATGTTAAAAATGGAGATAATCAAATATCAGCACTCCTGTATTATTTTTTTAGGTTGATTAGGTCAATAAATATTGTGATATATTTGGTTCCTACTTGGTAAAAAATAGGTTGTTTCTGGATTATTTTAGGTTCGTTTCGCCGTTAAGGTTTTTATTTATCTTTCCATAAATATATCATACGCTGTATTGTAATCAACACATTTTCGATTTTTCTGACCACGAAATAAAGGAACGCGAATTTATAAAACAAGCAGAGTCGTAAAAAAATATTAAACACCGAAAAAAAAAAATCATAAGCGGAGAGATAGATCTCCCTGATCCTCGCCTCCGGTTTAACTACGCCGCTGATTTAATGCACGCAATACGTATGGCCTGTGCGTAGATCCGACCGTCCAACCCTGGAAATAATATCGTGCCGTCATCGTGTGTATAGCTCACGGTGCAAAGGAACCGGAGTAGGTGTAGTGTACCGATACGTTGTGCGTACAGGAAAACCGGGCGGGGAGGGACGAATTAAAGAAACAAAACACGCGCCGAAACCGAAATACACAATCGACAACATTATATTACGCAGAGACGGCCGTGGTCATCGCGTGAGCCCGCCGGTCGCGAGGACGAAATGAAAGAAAAAAAAAAAAAACTATTGTCGATCGCGCGTAAAAATATATCGACAGATAGGCAGTCGCGTAGGTACCCGCGTTGCGGTATAATAACGTCGGCAGCGAAATACATCGCGTCTAATAATGCGCATTGTGTACCCATTATACGCGCATTATTGTTGTTGTTATGAGAGATACGTAGTTTTGCGTACCTACCGATGTATAGACGGAGAGAGACGTGTCCGACGGCAAGGCGAAATCGCCACGGGTCGTACTCGCAAGGTTCGTTCGGGCGGTAGTGACGACGGCGGGGGCGGCGGTAGATCGAAATAACGACGTTACGACGAACCGCCCTGAGAATTTCGAAACCTGACCAAATCATTGTTGTTATCGTTATATTCGTACGAGGGTACGTACGCGTAGTATACTCACGCATGCGATGATCTCTATAAACGCGCGTGCATACAATACGCGTATAAAATATCGTTATACCGTCGTCTACGGTAGTTAGTCATAATAATGTACAATACACGGTACGTCGTCGTTTCAAAATTCGAAACATATATATTATGCACCCGGTAAAAAAACGGATTCGAAAACAGTATGTAAACAAACACGATAATACTAAAATACTGGTTACCGGTATACAGACGTGGGAAATATTACCACGATTCCGCTGCGTTACGCGCATCCTATCAGACTGTTATCGGTCGGTTATTCATTTTTTTTTTTTTTTTCGGATTTCCAAACGATTTAATTGTACGATCATTAAAAACATGCGCGATATTATTTTCGATCGCTCATATATCGTATTAAAAATACCAGTGTTCACGTACTAAGATTTGACGATTGTTAAAATAAGAGATATTTCAATGAGACTTTTTTTGAATAAAATAAAAATTACAAAAGTACTCAAAACGTAGAATATAACAATTTTAAATTTACTCTGCATCGCATTTGTATGTACGTTTTTATTTGTTCGGATCCAATAGTATACATGATTAAGGATTTTGATCAGATAATATGACGTCACACTAATTTCGTCGTCCCTCATCCCACGTTATTAACTCGGGTTATGATAGAGAATATTTTATTGAAAATGTCATGCACGCATAAACCTAATATCACATAGCATATTAGTTAAGACTCGAGGAGTAGGAAAAAGTAATAAACAATTTCCCATACATTTTTAGATGATAACCATCGTCACTTTCTATGCTTCACAGTTCTAAATTTTAAACTGAAAGTATTACTCGTAATCTTTTATCACGAATATGGCTTCAAAAAGGTGTTTTTTTTTAAATCAAAAGTTGATTTTATTATTACAATATTATGATATGCGGATTTTTAAAATATCGCAAATAAGATCATAAACGATTTTATATTATAATAACTGAAAAAAATATCGTATAGAAAGTGTTTCTTAAACTTTCTGATATCACGGAACACGAAACAATAATATGTTTTACGTGACACCTTCATGAACATTTTCTTCGAAAAAGGAGGGTGTACAAAACATGGCAACAAACGTCAACATTTAATACAGCGAAATATAACTAAATTATTTATTTAAGTATCGTTGCATTCGAGGAGTAAAATTATATCTGTTTTTAATAACAGGAAATATAGTAAGTATGTATTATACATACTTGATATATCAGTACATGAATCTTAATAGGATTGAAGTTACAACATTTTGAAATTTATTAACAATAATCAGTTCAAGTCAAGTCAAATTGTAATTTTCATTACTCTCGTTTTCCCCACTCATATGCTCTATAAAGCGCTGGAATTTATACAATTTATTGTTTTGACGGTTATTTTTAGTACTTGATTTAACTTATCAGTACTTATTCTTTTACTTGCTAATATTTCTCGGTGTATCATACAATATATGCCTTGTATATTTAGCACCGCTTGTACCATTTTCGCGAATAATCCTGCATGCCTACCAGTTATATTATACCAGTTAGCCACACCATTTAAAGCAATTGAGATGCAGTCTGATTTTTTTTAAATTCACACTTAAGAAATAATCAAACAATGCTGAAAATATTTCAGCGCCAGCTGTTTCCTCAGTTATAAGCAGTTCATGAATTATTTATTAATTTATTCTTCGTCTTAGTCCACGTACCAATTATAAATAATTAGTAGTGTTTTATCAGCAATATCAGTCGACGCATCTAATTGAAGAGCATAGAATTTTGATCTTTTTATTTATTTTTTTTAAGTTGTTGATGAATATCATCGCCCATCATACTATTCTCCTTGCAATAGTATCAGGTTAGTTAGGTTTTAGGTTAGTTAAGCTAATATTTCTGTCTCTTCCATAAGGAGGAATGACGTAACATGCAGTAGCATTGGCGAGCAAAGCCGG